ATCTCAGTCTCCTTTTCATAGGGTGATGGTGATACCTCACAAAGCTGTTATGATAATTAGCTTATGTGAATAAAAGTACATGGCTCGAGGGGTAAAGTTTTTTGTACCTCCAGACCTTCCAATGTTCCCAGATTGCGTTTTGGTGCAGGATTACAGAACATCTGTTCTGTTTAGTCCTCCTTGTATTGCTGTTAACGTTTTGGCAAAGGCACCTGGAACACAGCATAGATGCATATGTACATAATATCAGAAGTCAAAAGGAGTGTATTCAGGTCCTGTTTGATTTATAGCCTGTCAAACACAAAGAATAAACCAATCTTGTGTTTAGCTTGATGGCTTAATTTGCACAAAAATAGGAAGGTCCAGAATTTAGTGTTTCTTGGCTCGGAACCTGCCCCAGATTGCTACCTGTAGTAAAAAAGGGCAGGGGATGGGATCTATAAATGCTTGTCAGGCCAATGGAACTGCCAGGCTGCAGCAAGAAGCAGAACTTGGGCTACTCTGAGCGTGCATTTTCCACAAGGCAGATAAGAGGTGTAAGCAAAAGTCTGCACAATGCTGGGAGGAGGGGAGGGGGTGAGGTGGCACCAGCAGTTTTAAGGGGAAACCCTCAAGGGATCATTATGTCCATCCATGCTGACCTGAAACCGAAAATCCCACACATTTCCAGTGCCTACGTGGGCTTTGCTGTTCCTCCCACCCAGTCCCTCATCCCTACTCATTTGTCTGTTTTTCAGGATCAAAGTTGTTTCTAGGCAAACGGAGAGCCAGTTTCCTTTCATGTGAGTGGAGCCATATGACTTGTTTGCTTTTCCTTCTTCACCTCCTGTTCCCAAATGGTAGTTCTGCACCCAGGCAAGGAGCAGGGGTGATGACTGCAAGAACAGGGTTAGACTTGCATCTCTACTGCACCCAGCTTGCTCCCACAGGACACAGCTCCTGCTGCAATTCACTGGCAGGGAGGACATTTGAGTTGCACAGCTTGACCCAGAGGAGGGCCACGAGGATGATCAGGGGACTGGAGCATCTCCTGTATGAAGACATGCTGAGAACATCAGGGCTTTTCAGCCTGGAGAAGAGAAGGCTGCGTGGAGACCTCATAGCAGCCTTCCAGTATCTGAAGAGGGCCTACAATGATGCTAGAGAGGGACTCTTCATCAGGGACTGTAGTGATGCAATGAGGGATAATATGTTTAAACAAAGGAAGCTCAGGTTAGGTATAAGGAAGAAGTTCTTTACTGTGAGGGTGGTGAGGCACTGGCACAGATTGCCCAAAGAAGTGGTGAATGCTCCATCCCTGGCAGTGTTCAAGGCCAGGTTGGACAGTCTCTTGTGTCTGTGTCTAGTGTGAGGCATACCTGCCCGTGGCAGGAGGTTGGAATTTGAGGATCTTAAGGTCCTTTCCATTCCATGTGAGCAGAACAGCTTCCTAAACTGAAAGGCAGCACAAGGTATCCTTGTTAGGACAGATGAGCAAGAGAGGCTAAAACCCAGTCTGCAAAGCTGTTAAAAGGAAATGAAATCTTTCACTTTCTGACCACACAGATTAAATGGGAGGAGAAAATGTTGGCTATCTTCAGTTAGCTTGTGGCATTGAAGAGCAACCATCAAGGGAAACAGTCTGCCTGCTGGGATAGTCATTGAGCAAGAGAGTGGATACAGCAGATAAAGGAAGATGACTCTTACCCAGAGAGGCTCAGCAGCAAAGAACAAACATTAGTGACTGGGGATTACACACAGGGAGAAAGGAAACACTAACTGGAGTGAAAAGCACTGCAAAAACCTCAGGAAATTTGGGTTCCTCGAGTGTATTCTTGCAGCAGTGTGCACTGCTTTAAATCTCCTACTGAAGTTCTGCTGTTGTGGTCAAGTTCTCATTCTGTAGTTTAGAGAAGGATTTGCAGCTCAGCTTTTGCAATATTTACACAGGTAAGACTTCCAGGGTTTTAAGATTTTTCCATGGGTAGGTATGGGCTCTTAGAAGTTACTTCTGACTCGGTAAGGACTTGGAGTCTGCACACTTACCATACCGTAAGTATTAATAGATCCTTCCTAATAGAAAAGTTATTTGAATTTAAGATTGTAGCTTAGTTTCTCTAAATTCCAAGTAATCAATTTACTTATGCTTCGGCTTTCCTTCTGCACTAATTGTCAGCTGTAAAGATTCAAAAGCTGCACAACATACAACTCTTATGTTTGTCAGTGGAAATGGCACTGTAAGTAAGTAATACCATGGTGCTAGAGTGTGTTTAGGACTATTGCAAAGTCAGGATTTGGTCCTGAGAGTAAACTTCAGTCTGCTCTCAACTCTGCCCCATAATTGAGATCTAATGAGTCTCTCCATGGTTCAGCTCCCCTCTTCTGAAAGATAGAGGGGGTTTGTCTCTTGCTTATCCTCATGTCTGTATGTGCCAAGGTTTCAGATCAGTGAGCAAGACTGTGAGGATGCTCCTCCTCAAGACAGCCTTACTCCATTCAGCTCAGTGCCAACAAGAACAGGGTCTTACCCACCCAAGTCATAGGTAGGGGCTGCCACTTCTCACTCTGTGACAGCACTTGAGCTCCTTTGAACCCCACCTCAGAGCCAAAATAACTGGTTACCTTGTAGAAAACTAAGTTGAAAAGTCTTTGATAGGTTTTCCTGTGTCAGCAGCTGAATAGAAGCAAGGCAGCTCCCACCAGGACCAAACCTGGCATGAAGGGATGCCAAGGTTGGGAGCAGTGGGATGCAGGATGTGAAATGGAGACAGTGGTTGCCTTGCGGCACTCTGCAACCCAGATAAAACAGCAGCAGACCCGTTTCCCAACACCACCCTGATCTGAGGACTGAGGAGATGCAGGAGGGCTGCACCCCTCTCCCCCAGGATACCTGCAGGACTAGCTCCACGTAAGCCTCCTCCCCTCCCCTCTGACTCAGCTCTAATGCTATGCTCAGCTTTTCACTCCTTCCTCAGGCAACTCTGTTCATTTTTCCTCACTCCCCCTTTGCTGACTGGCAGCTTGATATGGCTCAACACGCCCAACAGGCAGAGCTGGCCCACCCTGGCACTTCCAGGATACCTTTCTGCACCCACCTGAGCATGGGATATGGCCTCCCTCTCCTTTGCCATGACTTGTGGGGCGTTATCCCAAGCTCCAAGCACTCTTATATCCCTCTTCCTGTGAAGTCTGAAAGTTTGGGGGACACATGGAAGTTGTGGGAAGGTGTTGGAATGCACAGGATGCTCCCATTAGCCCAGTGGAGCAACACTGCAGCTCAGGGAACAGGTATTACTTCTGCTGTGAGTTAAGTCATTTATTTGGTGGTGAGACAGAAATCATCAAGAATCAGAGCAAGAAAACATGCCTGGAGTGAATTCCTGGGCTGCTAAGCATTGATGTTGAGATTCCCCTTTTTGCTCATCCAGCAGCCCAAGGACCTTGGTGGCTTTTCCGCCTCAATCAGGACACAGCTCAGTGTGGGACGGGTGGGAATGCCCATATTCTTTCATGCCGAGACAGGAAAAGCCATGCAAGCCAGGAGTTTGCCTGGCAGCCTCAGCAGGCTTTGCAGATTGAAGTTATTTTAGAATAGTCTAGTCTTTCCTCTGAGGGTTTCTTTCTTAACATAGGGGCATGAGCAAGGAATTAGCTGCAAGGATAGGAAGATGTTACTTGTGCAGCCCTTTGTGTCATTAAAAGCAAATCTGGTCCAGGTCTGCTCATGAGCAGGTGAGTGCATAGAGATAAAACCACGTTCGGTCATAGGGAAGAGCTGCTTCTGGCAGAGGACAACATATACCAGAATGGGCACATCGCTGCTCCTGCACACCCAGAGTAGAAGCAGGGAGATGCCTCTCTGCTCCTCAGATCTGGGGGACCATCAGACAGCCACAGCCATGCTCACACCAGCCTAAGACTGGACATAGTGAGAAGATCCAGTGCTGCTCTTGGAGCTGGCTGCATGCGAGGCAACTTAAGTCTGGAAGCATCCCAGCTTTGTCAAGCCCCTGAAGCCAACACGGGTGAGTTATCTTATTGTAAGCATCCAAGACTCGAATTAAACATGGTTTGTAAGAGCAGGCACAATGCCATGCTGGAAGGTTACGTGCCATTATGCCTTGCCCTAAAGGTGTGATGATTTGACTTGGGTCTCCACCAGCATGGAGATTCCTGCACTGTGCCCTGTTGTGCAGAGCTGTGGCTGAGGGCCTGCCCAGGAGCTAATGGCTGAGGTTTGTTAGGGCTTTGGCAGTTAGTTTAAAAGAGCCAGGAGGTGCTGTTTGGCCAGAAGTGGATTCTGAATTGATGTATTTTAAAGCTTTACCTTCCTGCAGCAAACATTTGTTCTTTGTCCCAAAGTCGAGTGAAGAAAGTGAACAACTTAAAACCAAGGTTTGGGGTTTTGGTTTAAGGAAGGGTAGAAGACAATGTTTAATTACATCGAACTCTAAAGGATGTCTTAGATTTCAATAGAAAAACTTCCAAATTGTAAACCAAAATAAACTCGGATAAAGAAAAAATCTTTCTTTTCCCTCAGAATGCTTGAAAGAAGGAAAATCATCAATTACGTAAGAAAGCTCGGCTCTCTTCTCGGCGAGTGACAGGGTCGCTCTTCCCCCAGGACCTTGCAGCTCAGTAGCAGCCGGTGACGCTACGCCCGGGCCACTTTGCCTTCTTAAATCCATCGGTGAGGAGCAGCGGGGGCCGCGGCAGAGCCCCCCGCAACCCGCCCCATCCCGTCCCGCAGCAGCGAGGGCTTTTCTTGGCGAAAACCTGCGATTCCGGCGTTCCTCGGGAATGAAAGAAAGTGACATGTTGGAAGTGGGGGGAGAAAGAGAGAGAGGAAGGGCTGTCCCTTCTGCAGGGCGGGATCTTTCCTCTTGCTTGATCTATGGAGCCCAGCCCCTTAAATTGGCTCCCGGGAGCGCCCCGGCCACCAGCCCGACGGGGGGAGAGGCGGAAAGCGAGGGAGAAGCAGGCAGGCGGGCGGGCGGCCGGATCCCCCGTCCCGGCCCGTCGGTGTCGGTCCCGGCCCGTCCGCCCCCCGCGCACCATGCGCGGCCCCCGGCGCCCCGCGCCCCTCCGGCCCGCCCGCCCCTAACGCCGCCCGGCTCCGGCGCCTTCCCCCGGCCGCACTTCGGGGGGCGGGGAGGGGGGAGAAGGGGGCGAGAAGAAAAAAAGTAAGGATAAAAAACATAAGGGGGGGTGGGGGAAGGGGGACGAGAGGAAGAAGAAGGAGGAAAAGAAGAGCCAAGGGAAGCGGGGAAGGCTGCTCTCCTCTGAGGACAGCGCGCAGCACCATGCAGCTGGCGCCGCTGGCGCTGGCACTCACCACGCTCTTCATCGACGGCTTGAGGATAGGAGCGAGGAGGCAGAAGCTGCACCCCAGGCAAGGTAAGGGGGTGCTGGGGTTGGGGTACTGGGAGGGTGCTGGTGTGCTGCCCCCCCCCCCCCCCGAGGGGTGGGGGGCTCGGCCTCCCCACTCAGGGGCGTGTGGTTCTCTTCCCTTGCAGCCAAGCTGCTGGAGAAGCTCAGCGAGTACGAGATCGTGACTCCTACCCGGGTGAATGAGTTCGGCGAGCCCTTCCCCACCGATGTCCACTTCAGGCGGCGGCGGCGGAGCACCAGCGCTGCCCCCGATGCCTGGATGGCCGCCTCCGCCGCCTCCCACAAGGCACACTACAGGCTCTCCGCCTTCGGGCAGCAGTTCCTCTTCAACCTGACAGCCAGCTCGGCTTTCATCGCCCCGCTCTTTACCGTCAGCCTCCTGGGAGAGCCCGCCGCCCACCAGCGGCGCCTGTACGCCGAGGCGGCCAACGCCGACGTGAAGCACTGCTTCTACCGAGGGCACGTCAACGCCCGCCCGCGGCACACCGCCGTTATCAGCCTCTGCTCCGGGATGGTGAGACCCGCGTCCCGGTCCCGCCGGGCGCCCAGCGGCGGCGCGCCGGGGCGGAAGCAAGGAGGAGGAGCGGGACGAGGGAGGGGTGGGCATTGGGATGGGGACGGCCCCTTCCCTCCGCCCGCGGAATAAGGGCTGGCGGCGCCGGCTCGCCCCTATCGGGGGTGACTTCCACCCCGCTTTTATTATTCCCTGTGGTTCCGGCAGAGGGTGCTCCGCGGGTCTGGGGGGAAAAACTGCCACCCAGTGGCACCCCGGCGGGAAGGTCAGCGGGTCAGACACCCTCCTGGCCCCGGAGTGCTGGCGAGGGCTGCAAAAGGGTGATGGAGGCTCCCCACAGCGCTGACCCCAGAGCCGTCCTGCACCCCAGGGCATGGCCCACGGGGTGATAAAGGCACGCTGCCTGGCAGCCACTCTTGGTGCCCTGCTTTGCAGGGGGATGTTAGCGAAGGAATGAGCAGAAGGTCCCAGCAGGGCTGACCTTTCTGGTGCCTTATAGCACCCTGGGTGCCTGTCCCAGGTGTGCCCAGGGGGATCTCTGCTGTCTCCAGTTGGTCGGTCGCTCCCCTGAGTGTGTACACCCCGCCTACTACACGTGTGTGTGCATGGGCATGCCTCCCTACCAGTTACTGGTCATGCATCCCAGTGTAGGATGGCTTTTAGTCTTGGATATCTTGTTTACATGCCAAATCCCTATGTTCATAGTCACATGCAACCAGGAGTGTTGGTGTTTTATCATGAGTTGGGATTTCAGTGGCTGGACACCTCCCTCTGGTCCTTACATGTGTGTTGAAAGCCTGTCTCAGGAAGAACTGCTGTATGAAAACCAGCAAAACCAGATAGAGTTGTACTGAGACCTCCAACATACTGCAGCACCATCTCCCCTTGGGTAGGAGTGGTGTGGTAAATGGCACAGGGACAGGGTCTGGTAGACATGCCTCTCTTGTTCTTCTGACCTATGGATTAGTAATTTGCTTTCCGTAAATTGCAGTGGGATGGCTGCAGGGTGCAGTGCAGCCTGGTGTTGGTGTGATGGGACCTGAAGCTCACATGGGTTACTGCAGAACCAGGCACTCCCTCATTAACCACTCATTACGTTGGGTAGTCCTGCTCCGTGGTTTGTCATTGCCCAAAGCTAACCCTCTGCTCCTCTCTGGTCCTTCTCAGCTAGGCACCTTCAAGTCTGACGATGGGGACTATTTTGTAGAGCCACTGCTATCACTTGAAGAACAGGAGTATGAAGAAGAGCACAATAAACCACATCTAGTCTACCGACACCGGACACCTCCAATGAACTCTTCAGGGGACAGGCAGACTTGCGACACTCCAGGTACACATTCTGTTACTGCTCTTGGTGACTTGGCACCTATGAAAGGGAACTCATGCAGTAAAAACAGTAGGTTTGGGTGGGGCACAAGGGATGTGGAGTTGAGGGACCCCTCTAGAAATGGTGCTGTGTGAGCTAGGACCGGGCTCGTGGTGGTACTGCTGTCCTGGAGAGATGTGGTGCGCCTGTGCTTCCTAGTAAGGGGTTAGAAGGAGGTTGTGGTCAGGAAAAATGTTAGGTTTCCGTTTCATCCCTGCTGAGGCTGGCAAGAGATCCGTTGGGCTGTCTTGCCTTAAATATCCCATGAACATTTCAACTTGCTTTGTGTCCTCTCCTACGTGTAATTTCTAACTATCCTAATCTAATTTGTTCTCTGTCTGAAATTATCTTTCTGTCCTTTAAATGACTTCTTGGTCTTGCTGTGCTCCTGGTCTTCCCTTCCCAAATGTGTTTGTGATTTGCAGTGTGTTATTTCTTTCTAGTGGAAATGAGAAGGTCCTAACACCAGGCCTGACAGTTCTTCCCTTATTAATCACTTTTCCATGGTTCATTTTCAAAGGCCTTTTTCCCTCATGGCCCTTTCTCCACCAGCACCATCTCCCTGACCTCCTCACTCCCTCTTTCTAGTCATCGCACATATGAAAGAGCACAAGGCTTTATCTCCCCTTCACTTGCCTTGGTGAGCAATAGCCTTGCTCCTACTGTCCCTATTATCTGCAGTGGCCTCCTGCTGCTCTCTGCTTCATTGACTTCCTGATTTTCACAACTAATCCTCTTCTTTGGCAGCAAATAACTAAGTTCTCTCCTGTTTCACCTACTGTTTTGCCCTCCTCCTTTGGCCTGCAGCTAGATCTGCAGGAGCTTTAAAGTCTAAACAGAGTAGACCTTGACTGACTTCCCTTGTGCAGGCTGCAAGCCGCTCATGTGCTGCAAAGTAGGTGGAGTTACTCAGGGAGTAAAGGTACCACTGGAGGAGAAGCGTGGTGCCAAACTCAGGCTTCATTTAACACGCGTGACTCATTTGGCACCCATGACTGTGGATTGTGGCTGTGCTGTTGAGTTGTCGGTCTGTTCAGCTTGAACTGATCGTGCTACCTCAGAAGATGCTCTGGTGCTCTGTGACCAGCCAGAGCCGATGCACTAGGAACATGTTTTTCTTCTAGAAGACATGTGGACACATGTCCACATACAGGCATACGTGCTGGGGGACAATGGTACCTCTCACAAGGCCATCGTTGTTTGTTCTTCCAAGGGTTGCTGCTGGACTATGCCATTCTGGTTTCTCTCTTCCAGCTGTTTCTGCTCCCTTCTTTGAGATCAGATGCAGGAGACTCAGAACAGTTGGAAAGAAACACGGAATCTGGCACATTGCATCAGTAGCCCTTGGAGGAACGGAGCAGCAGATCACAGGACTCATTGAATCGAAGGTAGCTGGGAGGGCTCTGGCTTTGGCTTGTGGTCTTCACTCTGTGCCGTTATAACAGCCTTCTGTATTTCACACCACTGTCATAGCTTCCATTGAGGGTATTATTCTTCTGGATCATGATTCACAAGAATAATGCTCCATCTATGGTATTATATATATGATGTATATCTCTCTCCTCTTTTCCAACATGCTTTGCCTCTTGTTTATCTTTATTTCCTTGCTCTTCTCAGTTGCTTCATGTAGTGGAGGGAGAAGATCTTGCCTCTCACATACAAGCTTTAAGGTTCCAGATAGGTGTGACAGTTTTACTTGTCCTCCTGTCCTCTTTCTCTCCATCTCTTGCTTCCTCTTTCACCATTGTCCAAGGTTTTGAAACAGTATGACGTATGGTGAAGAATTCTTGGTCACTTAATTTAAGCAGCATGTGCAGGGCAGCTTGGGCAATGCTGAACCTTGGTGTTCCCCGTGGATCTGGTGGAAAGGAGGCATCTCACATGTCTTTGGAGCAGAGGAGAAAAAACAAAATCTGGTAGCACTCACTGTTTTGAACAGGGTGCATCTGTCACTCCCAGCAGAGAAGAATGGTTTCATGAGAGTCTGGGGGAGCTTGTTAGAGCTGTAGGTAGTTGTGTGAATCCAGGGAGAAGAATGTGTGAAAAGGTGCATTTGCTTTGCAGGCTTCTGGCAGGGATTGAAATTTGCTCAAAGAGGAAATTAATGCAAAGGAGATCTTTGGTACCACCCTGCAGTGAGCAAGGGAGCCTGCATTGCCGGGCACTGGGGCTATTAAGAACAGCTTTCTGATAGTCTTCTTCCTGGAAACGATTAATAAGCAACACACCGGTGTGCCCTTGCCATGATGATGTAATTATAGACTTATTGCAGTATCCAAGAAAAGTTTCCCTTGTGAGTTGACTGACAGATTGAGTAAAAGCTTTCATTTCCAGTGGTCTCCTGGTGTTACTTTTGGTTTTCAGCATCCTCAGGTCAGCTTAGAAAAACATGTATTTGATTTTCTATAGAAGTTTTAATTAGCCATTTCTGATAATGGTTTTAGGTTCTCTGACATACGAGATACTCTGCAGATGTTGTGAAAAAAGGCCTTTCTTCTCTGAACGCTGATGGATATCTAATGCAAACTGTGCTCTGAATATGAACTTTCATAGCACAAACCAGGGTCTCCTGGCAATGCACTTCAGCGTCTGGTGTATAGCTCAGCCACCGCAATAAAAACTTTTGACAAAGTTTTCCTTGGGGTAACAGGTTAATGTAGTTTCAGTCATAGGAAATGGTGCAATTTCTCCTCCTTCCCTTCTTTTAGTTAGTACCGTGAATCAATTTGTCATCTGGTCAAGGATCTGGCAGAATAATTAGTTGCACTTTACTGAATAACCCTGACGGGATGAAGGCTTGGCCTGGTTGAGAGCGTGATGTCAGTAGGTGCAGCGCCGCTACCACCCATCGCTTCATGATAGCAAGCTTTTCCGATCCAAATTATTAATATCCGCTTTTTTGAGGTGGAGGAGGAAGGGAAAAGAAATTCTGATCCTAAAAAAAGAAGAAAAGGAAGTGGCTCATTGCGAAGCTGGAGAGTGGAGCTTTCCTGCGCCCTGCGGAGGAACAATCTGACTCCGATGATAAAAGGCGCGTAGCTGCATCCTGCAGCTGTGTCCCTCTGTGCCGGCCGGTACTGGGGGGCCAGCAGCAGCAATCTGACCGGCCCATCCAGTCTGACCTCCTGCGAGGAGCAGACCTGCCAGCCCTACCCACTGGTTTCCATGTGAAACCCCAGAGGTTTGGTATGGCAGAGAGATGTCCAACTGCAGATGCTAACGTCACACTGCCTCTAGTCATCACCTGAGTAAACCACTTTGGGCCACCTCTTGCTCTGCATCTTGTGTCCCTTTCTACTGCCTCTTCTTTCTCTCATGTTTCCCACATTTTCTGTCATTGATATGTTTTTTAGGTATATTTTGGTTGTTGGATTCTCTGGAGCTCTTCCAGTTTTCTTTGGTTTTGTGGTAGCATTAGCGTTTTACTGAGTCTTATTCAACCGTTCTGCTTGTTGGCCACCCCTTGTTCTGAGACAGATTGGCCTCCGCCTGCCTGGTGGCACCAAGCCACAGCTGCCTTGTGCCCATGACTATAAATGCAAGAGTTGGGCTTTCTTGTCTCCCCAGTTCTGCTGCATGCTCAGCTATTTCATTGCTCCAGACTTTGCCAATTCCTTGTTGCTTTTACTGTGACCCTGTTGCGGTGCTCCTGAATGAACTCTTTTGGGGCAGCTCCTTGTTTGTTCCCACTGCATTCATTTTACTGCTCTTCTGATATGTGCTTTCCATTTCCTTCCCAGCTTTGTCAGTCAAATACCTCCCTGTTTCATAATTCTTTTATATTCAAGACCCAGCAGTGGCTAAGATGAATGAATCAAGGACTAAATCTTTAGTGAGCATTAGCTGTTCCCATGACTTGTTGCTGGTCAGCCATGCCTGTCCTGAGGCTGGCGTGTCAGATGTGGGCTCCAAGGCTGTGTGTGAGGATCTTGCACTAAGTCCTGGCTCCTTAATGAGAGTGCTTAAAGTGGGAATATTCACCACGGGCAAAACTCCTCATGCAGAAGCAGCAATAACACTCCAACGGTGCCAAACTAGCAGGAAGATGATTAGAGCTTTCCTGTTTCTGGAGGAGAGCCAAGGGGCTGCAGTCAGCAAAGAGGCCTTCCAGCAATTCTCGCTGAGGTGGTGAGGGTTTGGAAATGGGCTCAGAGGAGCACAGGACAGAGCAGATCTTACCTGGGCAGAGCTGGCTGCTGGCAGAGGTGGGAAAGCCCAGTGACTCAGCTGCTGAGGTTGTTTTCCAAAACTCATATGCATTACCAGCACAGAGAGCTGCTGGGCACAGCCTGGAGGCTTAGCACTTCCCAGAAACAGATGTAAAAGGGTCTCAAATTTGCAGCTGGGTATTTAGCTGCAAGGTGTTAAAGCAGTTGGACTATTCAGGAGGCAGCACATGTGTACTGCAGCTCCAAAAAGACAAGGCTGTGTACTCATACGGGTGAGGAGGAGAAAAGAAGCTGTGTGCATGTAAGTTGTGTTGAAAAGGTTGCTGTAAAAAGCGCAAGACAAATCAGCGTGAACCAAGTCTTGCCGCCGAGCTAGCATGACATGGGCTTAATCAGTAATATGTCACTGATTTTACAGTTGCATTAATGAGTAATTTGTAACAGATTACCCTTTCATAGTAAATGTAACAACCCTTCACACTGAACGTGACACTGGGGAGCCCCCAGAGCAAAGGAGTGCTGCCCTGGGTCTTGGGCAAGCAAAAGGTGCTGCCAGCCCCATGACTGCGATCTTCTTTCTGCATGATAATTAGCATCAGCCTGCTCAGCTATTACAGATAGTTGTCATCTCTTTCCCAGTGCCACCCAGATGGAAAGAGTCATTGATGAACCCACGGCACAAGGAGGAGATGGTCCTGCCCCTGTGTTCCCATGTGCTTGAGGAGTGGCCAGGTTGAGGTTGATAGAGGGTGGGTCAGCTAATGTGTTACCGGTGCTGTGACCAAGGAGGTGGCA